CCCCAAAACCCCAAAACCCCAAAACCCCAAAACCCCTTTCAAGATCTCACCATTGAAAGCTGTCAATAAAACCAATATTTAAAAATCTAGCATTTTTAATACTAATAAAGATTTTTGTTCAAAAATGGAAATGACTCCTTCAAGGTACTTAAGACAGTAAGTAGGCCGCCAGAACTTGCCAGATAAGGAAGAATTACTATTAGCAATAAGTTTTACTTGGATTGGGTCTTTAGGAAGGACTAAAAAATTCGAACATTTAAGGGCGATGGCTCCTTGGGTTGACGGAATTTAAACTAAATGGTATAGAAGACACACATGGAGTGAAGAGAAAGGACAAGGAATTGTTTTCACACGGTTTTTGAGATTTCACGGGATTTGGAAGCTCTGAATTGGATTTTTCTTGTTTTGATCCCTTCCGGTACTTCGTTGCCTTACAGAAAGTTTTTTATTTAATAACTCTTCATTTCATCCGGGAAGCGCTGATCATTTCAGAACAAATACAGGAAACTTTACTCTCTCAGATGTAAACATGTTTGACAGTGAAGGAGGGTTTATTCGTGTTCATTCTGACGATAGGATTAACTTTACCGGGTCTCTTCCGAGAGATCCTTCTAACAGTGATTATAAGACAAGTGTATCAATTTGGGTACATACATTAGGCTTTACGAATGCCTACAATCTCTTCTGTCTGCCTTTTAAGTCTCATTACAACGACTCGACGGGGACGGCTGCTGACAGGGATATTGGATGCTGAGCAAGAATTGAAGAGACAGGTGGCAGGAGGATTATTACATTCAGCTGTTACCTCAATGACACAAATAAATTTACTAAGCAAATTAACATAACTGATGGAAATAACCCAGGAGGATGGGATGTATACGATTTCTTATTTAATGCAGAAAATCTCGCAAGCTTTGGGCCTTCAATCAGCAATCATTTGCAGTTATGCTATCTGACTGATGCTACTACAAGAGTTTGTGAAGACATTACAGACAGCACCACTACTACTGACCCAGTTTACTCAGGCCATCACACAATTGGAGGGTTCACAGAAGACTGGTCTTCTTACACGCACTCCCTAGTGGGTGTAATCGTCAGGATATGCTTCCAAGACAAATTTGAACCCTGATCTAACGAACTCAGAGACTGGCTGATCTCCAATTACTCTAATGCTTTTGCTATCCATTTCAAACTCAAAGATGCAGCTCAGAATGGGTTTGAAGATAACCATGTCACCAAGTAAGTCTTTGCTCTTTTGAGTTAGACAAAGATGGCTAGAATTGATCAACTTGAATGCCTTCGAGTTAGGTTATTTTGAGAATTTTCAAAAACAAACACTTAGTTACCAAATCAGGATTTGATTAACCAGAATATTCTAGAATTTTATTTGAATTTTAAATTAACATTGTTTATGTACAAGAATCGAATAAAATCAAAGTCTAAAGATACTTATCGTCTTCATCTTTGCATAACACTTCGACCTCTTTTTCCAATCCTTTAACCTCAAGTATAGTCAAGGAGTTGACTCTTCAGGAGGAAATACCTCTGTCTACTTAAGGAAGCAGATTAATCCTGATTATTATTCTATGGCAGTCACCAACATGGGCTGGATATACAAAGATACTGGTTCTTCTTATGCTGTTTCAGATGATATTGAGATAGACTACTCTTCTCAGTTGACCATTGAAATGGACCTGTTTCTCTACAAATTAAATAATCTGTATCTGGATGTTTACCTACAAAGTAAGCCTTCGTTTGAGATTTGGGAAATTTTAATTATCAACAAGAGAAATTCTGGGAAATGTGTTTGAGGAGAACCAAGCGACTTAATAATTATAGAAAATAGCGGGTATTTGGTCCCACAATTTTATTTCACTGGAGGAAAAAGTACTCTTTATCCAACTATTATCAGCACTAAGACTCCAAAACGGAATCCTCAAATCCACAGCGAACAATACCAACGTGACCTCAAAAATATTAAGGTTTTCAAGATGCCTAGGAATAATAACAATTAATTTATCAGATGTTCAGCTAAATATCCTTCCTCTGGGGTTTTGGGGTTTTGGGGTTTTGGGGTTTTGGGG